TGCCCACGGCGGCTGATTTCTTGGACATCGTGCTGTCCAAGACACAGCGAAAGACGCCAACGGTCAGCTCACTTCACTTAAATATCATTGAAGGAAGACTCATTGGCTGCGTAGGTCATCCACAAAAACTTCAAAATCAGCCGTATACGGAATTTCTATATGAGAAAAGTCAAATTTACGCAAGATACATTCGACGAAAAACTGGGTGCGATACTGAACGACTTTCCCATGTTAGACGTGCGTTTACTTTTTTTTCGATGTTGGAATAATACTCACATTTAAGGCAGGATCTACACCCTTTCCTTTCGTCTCTTATGAACGTTCTTTACGACAAAAATCATTACAAACTTGCCCTTGGTCAACTTCGCACTGCTCAAAATCTTATTGACAACGTAGCCAAGGACTTTGTCAGACTGATCAAGTACGGCGACAGTCTTTACCGCTGTAAGCAACTGAAAAGGGCTGCTCTCGGTCGGTGAGCAATTCAGTTCTTTCGTATACTTCGTAGGATACCGAAGTTTGTTGTAGGATGGCTACGATTATGCGTCGTCAAAAGGACCCCCTCGCATACCTAGAACAAGTACGCCAACATATATCCCGTCTCCCTGCCATCGATCCCAATACCCGAACCCTCCTTATCTGCGGCTACCCCAATGTCGGAAAATCTTCATTTATCAACAAAGTTACTCGGGCCGACGTTGACGTCCAACCGTACGCCTTCACCACAAAGTCTCTATTCGTGGGACATCTGGATTATAAATACCTTCGATGGCAGGTCATCGACACGCCCGGTATCTTGGATCACCCTCTGGAAGATATGAACACGATTGAAATGCAGAGTATTACGGCGTTAGCTCATCTGAAGAGCGCTGTCCTCTATTTTATGGATCTGAGTGAACAGTGCGGTTATACCATTGAAGCGCAGGTGAGTTTCAACCAACTGGCGCGATCGAAATTTACCTGACAGCATTCTAGTGCAAACTCTTCCATTCCATCAAACCCCTCTTCAACGGCAAGCCGACTCTCCTCATCATCAACAAAATTGATGTCATGCGTCTAGAAGACGTTCATCCTGACTCTCGAGCCCTTGTCCAAGAGATCATTGACTCCGAAGGCGTGCAATGCGTTCAGGTATCATGCTATTCCGAGGAGGGTGTGATGGAACTCAAAAATAAGGCCTGCGAGGCTCTCCTCGCTCACCGCGTTGAGTCCAAAATCCAGGGCAGCAAAATCAATTCCATCATTAACCGGATACACGTTGCGCAGCCTAAAGCGCGCGACGACGTGGTTCGTGCACCTTGTATACCTGAGGCAGCCAAGAACAAGAAGAAGTTCGACAAAGATGATCCTAACAGGCGGCGATTGCAGAAGGATATCGAATTGGAAGAGGGTGGACCTGGTGTTTACAACATCAACCTCAAACGTACGTGACTCCACCTTTTGTTAACGTCGACTGATTGTATCAACAGAGGACTATCTCCTTACTGATCCTGAATGGAAGATGGACATCATACCTGAGATTATGGATGGTAAGAACATTGCCGACTTCATTGACCCCGACATTTTGGAGAAGCTCGATGCTCTCGAACGCGAAGAAGAGCGCCTTCAGACAGAAGGGTTCTACGACAGCGAAGAGATGGTGAGGACCTCTTGTTACCTTTTCTTCTCTCTCACACCTAAGGGGCTTGTAACAGTACGACTCCGACGACGAACGCGAAGCCCAAGAAGCTCAAGTCGCGCTCTCACACAAGATTCATTCGCAGAGTATCAAGAAGAGCAAAAAGAATCAGGCTCGTATGCCTCGGACAGCGACGGTGCGATCCCTGTCCGATTTGACGGAGGGAATGACCAAGGCGGGCTTGGATCCGAGCCGGATACAAGATCGTGCAACCGTGCTAGCCAAGGTGGCGGGAGCGAAGCGGAAGAGAGCGGAGGAAGCTGAGATGGATGTCGATGGTGATGACATGGAGAATGACGGGGAGGACGATGACGGGATGGACGTCGATGGTGAAGAGAAAGCAATGGCGAAGCGCGTCAAGGGCAATTCTGGTGGCGTGGTGACGATAGATAGACGGGCACCCAAGACGAATCGACAACTCGCTGGTTTACGGGACGAAGGGGTAAGTGTAACTGTTAAGCTTTACGATACTGTTTGCTCACGTATATCCAGCAAGCGTCCAAGGCGACCAAACTACGGAATCTTGGACAGCGGCCGCGAAACCAACTTGCCAAGGCTGGAGAGAGCGATCGTGCAATCAAAGTCAAAATGGTGAGCAATCTACAGGATGCAATATTGTGCAAAAATCTCATTCGTCTTAGCCAAAACATCTCTTTGCTGGTAAACGTAAGGGTGGGAAGACCCAGAGACGTTAGACAGGCTCAATTTCTTTATTCCTCATCTGTGTCACGGTTTTTCACATTTAGATGTGTCTGTATATGCAATATTACAATAATCATTATTGCCGTCAAAGAACTGCGATCGTCATGCTCTCTCAATACACTAAAAATGCAGATGCAAGGAAGAACAGAAAACTAAAGTAGATGGGAAAAGTATAGTGCTACAAGCTGGAACGCAGAACGAAGACTAGAATAATGATAGTAGCGTCAAAAAGTGCAATCAAAGCAGGGAACGTTTTAAAGGGCGTCTTCAGAGTCCCAACGCGAAATCTTACCCAGAGGGCGATAGTAATACTGTTTATACTTCTTCGTTTCAGACCTTTTCGCTGGCCTAGGCATCATCGCCCTCATTAACGACGCGCGTTCCTGGTCTTCATCTCGCTCCGGCACATAGAACCACTGCGCTTCCAGGGGATGATTCGAATCATCCTATCAGACAGAGAGATTAGCGCTCGATAACACAGCCTCACAGATGCGCTCACCATGCCACTGCTTTCCACCTTGCCAAACATACCATTTACACGATGAGCCTCTTCCAGCACCCTCCCGATGGAAGCGATCCACTCCGGATCTTCTCGTTGTGATTTGAGTGCCGGCCGGTTTTGAATGACAGCTTTGTAGATGGAAGAGGCCCGATGCGAGGAAGCCCGTGACGTGGCCATGCTCTCGATGATCATACCGCATAGTTCGGCGTCCTCGACTGAGAAGTTCAAGGGAGGTGGGGGCGGTGGCGGTCGTTTTTCTGCTTCTTCATCCTCTTCGTCTGAAGATGAGTACGACGGCTGTCGACGTCGACGTCGGGGAACTTCGGCTTGCTTACGTGGCTTCCTTGCTTTAGTCTTGGTCTTGGTTTCGGATTTTGAGGCGATGTTTTCATCGTCTCCAGCAGCGCCGGAAGACGTCGAATGGCTACCCAGCCGAGGTTTTTTCTTCTTCGGACCATCATCTTGCTCCTTTTTGCGCTTCTCGTGCCCCGTCATTACTGCCGCGATATAGTCAACTCCATTCTTCTCCTTCAACGTGACCCCAGCCATCTGATCCTGCTCTGGAACCTCCTGCTTTGTCGGAGCGTCACTGATTGTGACGATAACATCGTCCGATAAATCTCCCTTGCGCACGACAGAATCTTCAATGTTGGAATTCACATTGGTGTTGATAACAACAGACAAAGCTGGTGGTGGAGAAACTGGTCGTTGATCCTTGTCGAAGAAGCCTTCGGAACTCGGAGATGGGGGTGCTGCATCTGTTGATATGACGGCGGTGATAGTATCCAACTCGGCGCCACATGTGATCGACGTTTCTGGTATCATGAAATGAGGTATTTCATATTTGGTCTGAACCTGTAAGGGTGAGGTTTGTGAACGATAACAAAGCTCCATGTGCCAATACACGTACAAGTGGCGACGAAGAAGGATCCATGGTGACCGAGAGGTGAATACCCTCGATGTCGGTGTCATCCGAGTGGAGCGGAGGAATGATAACGGGAGACAGTGGAGGTAGAGCTGGAACGCTTGTCGGTGACATGGGGCCGATCATTGGCGATACAGAAAAAGACATGGGTGACAGAGGTGGTGACGAAGGGGGCAAAGGTGAGTAGGGTCGATTATCGTCATCTGGCATCTCTGATTCCGATGTTATTGGTTCTGTATCAACATCGGCGTCATACGAAGTCTGTCTGTCATCCGACTCTGGGGAGAATTCGGAGGTAAAATCCAGTCCTTCGCAGCCAGAATGGTGGGAGTTCATGGAGAATCCTGCAGGCTCAGAGGCGAGTCTTCTATCAGGACTTGGTGGGACAGGGCGAGACGAGGTGGGCATTGAATTGCGTTGGTGATGCGAAGACTGAGGCTGAAAAGGTATAGGATCGTTCTTCCATTGGCCCCGCTCTTCAGATACTCGGAAGAACGTAGCCCTGGACGTCGTTTCGACACAAACTTCGTCTTCCGTATCAAGGTCCTCCTCTTCGCTGTCTGTATAGAAAACAGAGGCATGATTTGGGGATACGTCACTGGACGCGTTGCTACGAAAGAGGTGGGCCTCGGCGACGTCAGAGTACTCTTCTACATCGGACATGGGTGGAGGTAAATCCCCGAACATGGAATGAAAACTGGGTAGTTTGCACGGAACTTTGGGATGAGGAAAATTGAGAGGATGGAGTTCTCTGCGGAACCGATTCGACGCGCCGTTGCCCGGATCGTGAATGGCGATACAATACCCAGGACCAGGACTTGACTGTATACGGGCTTGACATTGAGAATATACGGAATGGGGTGATGTTGGCGGAGAAGACGAGCACGGTGGTGACGACGAAGGAGAGGAATATTGAACGCGATGAGCTGTCGACCATTTCCAGGTCGAGACAGAAGGGAAGGACATGACGGTTGGGTGATAAGATGCAGTAAGGTCACGTGAGGCGCGTGTCACAATCAACGCGTTTAGGCGGCAATTTAAGCACCGCTCGGGTTTCTCCGGTGATCGAAATGATGTAATGACGATCACAGCTCCTCCATCCCCACTTCCACTGTTCAGAATGCTCTGGTTCTACCGCACAGGGCTCAGGAAATGAAAAGTAAAACAGCAGAAGTATTCAGGATAGAAAAATATGACCCCTGGGCGGATCGAACGCACGGCCTTGTGGACGCCCAGATCTGGGGTTCAGACCATTCTGGAATCACACGCTCTACCACTGAGCTAAGGGGTCGATGCTATTCTAGTGTAAAGAATTATATATCATCTACAAGGGTCGCGATCTACTCTCATCAATCTTGGTGTGTATACCGGATTTGTTGCTTGGGATGGGACAATTTCGAAGCCAATATCAGATGCCCTCTTTTATTCCGCGATGATAACCAGAACCCTATCCATCGTGAACCACACTGCTTTGGGCATCATGTCTGCGGGACATGTGTGTAGTACTAGAAGGACGATCAGATCTGTCACCACAGCATCATCCCGTACGGCTATCATCACTGGCGCCGGTCAAGGAATGTGCGTCGTACAATGCTCTATAGCGAATGATATGATCATCAAACTGACTCTATACCTTCCGAAGCGGACGAGGGATAGCTCTGCGCCTCGCCCAAGACGGGTTCAATATCTGCGTCAATGATCTTTCGTCAAATGCTGACCAGGTCAAATCAGTAGGCCCGTCGCTGTCATACCTACGTTGAGTAGTAATGCTTCTATGCAGGTAGTAGAGGAGATTAATTCGCTTGGCGCAAGCGCCGTTGCCGCCTTTGGAGATGTATCTAAACGTGCCGACGTAGAAGAGATTGTGAAGACATCCGTCGACACCCTTGGTCCCCTCACAGTCATGGTTGCCAACGCAGGTATCGCACACTCCAAGCCCATCCTCGATATTACCGAGGATGACCTTCGACGAATATTCGAAGTGAACGTCATGGGGGTTTTCAACAGCGATGCAGTAGCTGCGAAGCAATTCATTAAGCAAGGAACCAGTGGTAAGATTCTCAATGCCGCTAGGTAGGCCCTGGAGCTTCTCAATGACAATCACCTCCTTATTCCAATCCTCCACAGTGGGACATCATTCCGAGCAGACCATCTCCTCGCACATTACAGTGCCACGAAAGCCGCGGTGCGAAGCTTGACACACTCCTTCGCTATAGAACTTGGCCGACATCGTATCACCGTTAATGCCTATGCCCCCGGCATCGTAGCCTCACCTATGTGGGAAGAGATCGACAGGGGAATGAGCAAAATAAACGGTCTTCCGATAGGCCAGAATTTTTCCAAATTTACGGATTCGATCTGTTTGGGCCGGACGAGTGTACCGGACGATCCAGCAAAGTTGGTCTCGTTTTTAGCGGGTCCAGACTCGGACTATATGACTGGACAGACCATTGTTATTGATGGGGGGAACGTGTTTGTGTAGTAAGAATTGGTGGAAAGGATGCTCCTGATGTGGGGATACGTACTATAGTTAGCTCTATGTGATATCATCCGAAGGCGATTTGGATTGTCCGATCCACGGCCCACGGAATGGTAGAAGGCAGTGCGAGGCGCGGCGACACTCACCAATGGACCTAGGGTGCACAGGATAAAGAAGTGAACTCTAACCGGACTGACGAGGTTGATCCATCAGGACTAGATGAGTCACCGGAAAGCAGAAAATGATGGGTCGCAAACTGATGATACTGTGATGTGAGAGAACTGCAACGGTGTAATGATCTATGCGTAGCGATCGACCTTGAATAAAGGTTTTTGAAGAAATTTATGTCGTAAAAATTCTCCTAGCTTTTCACTTGGGGATACGTCGGATGTCTGTGTAATCAGAGGAACATGCTTTATACAAAACCCAGTATCAGGGAGGTCGAATGATGCCGATAAGCAGATGGGATGGAAACCGAAAGATAGACAGCACGTTTGATGTCTACGACGGGTTGTACTCTGTACGAGAATTTAGCAGGGACCTCCGTCTGAATAGAAAACCGGAGCGAGAGCGACGGGGGGGGGGGGGGGGGGGGGGGCCGTAATCCCCTCATAACGATGGGTATAAAAGAGAACATATACTCAGAACAAGTAATACGGATGGCATACCAGGGCATTCCGGGAAAAAAGCGGGAGGTGAGTGATCCGTGGCGAGTCGATAACGCGTCCCTAGAATCTCATGGGAACACGGCCGTTGTTGGCCGCTGCTGGTCTACTGAATTGTTAATTCAGCATACATCTCGAGCGCTGTAAACTTACGCGTCTTGTCTTACCCTGGCCATCGTGCGCCGTTCCCGCAAAGAATAGAGCGGTTAGTCCCTAATTGGCAAGCTCCCGACACAACCCGCCGGAGCCTTAATGAAACTTGGGCGATTGCCAAGTCTCACGCGCGATGGGTACCTAGTAAAGAGATGGCGACGCAACCGATGATAAATTCTCTACAGGCAGTGCTGGAATTGATAAGACGCATATCAAGTAGGGAAGAAAGGATTGATCAGCTCGGCCAAATCGGATACGCAGCAGTCCTCATGCTCAACATGGTGAGAAGGTACTGCACTGTGGGGTTATTAGGTCCTAGTTAAAATGGATGATTAAGCACTTGGAAGCTGCGTGTGCTAAAAATTTTAGTGTAACAAAAGAAAGTCCCAGCCACAAGGGTTGACAATAACAAGCAAATAGCAAGACCAGGTGAAGGAATTTTTATTTTCTGGGCACCTCGAGCAAAGGCCAGTTTACTGAATAGAGACCAAGACATGATGATGAGAGTTTCGGGAGGAAGGCACGTGCATGGGATATAAATCAGTTCCTCACGTCACACGCTGCCGCAGAACAGGTTTCCGGCTTTCATCTGTGCTTGGCCACAGGCTCTTTCATTCCTTTCCTCACGACCGCCATGTTCCTCGTTCCCGTATTCTTACTTTTCATTCTTGTTTCCGTCTCTGCAGAGCCCATCCATGTCTCCATAAGGAACAACGGCCCCCGCCAGGTCGATTACGCAGCTGCTGCGGATGCCCTTAGGACAAAGTACGGCTATTTCCCCGCATCCCAGAGCAGAAAGCGGCAGAGTACAGCTGGTATTGGTATTGTGGATCAAGTGCGTCGCCGCTTCTTTGTCCGATGTCGAGGCTCTGAGCTGATTGTCCCTTTTCAAAGAACACCGATGCGAGTTATTTTGCGACTGTCAGCATTGGAACGCCGTGAGTGTCATTTCCACCTGGCTGACGTCGCGAACCAAGTGGCGCACATGATAGACGGCCCCGGCTACGACGTCGACAAAAATTAAACGAGTTCCCGCTCGTCGGCTGTTCTGACGCCACGATCGTTCCGGGGCCTCGTAGTTTTCTTTTATTTTATTTTTCAATTTCGGGCGATTCTGACGTCTCTCCAGGGCCCAATCTTTCGACGTGATTCTCGACACAGGTTCTTCAGATCTATGGGTTGCCGACGCGAGCTGTTTAAGCTGTTCTTCTTCGACACCTTTGTTCGACACTCAGTCATCATCGACATTAAAAACGGCGACCGGCAGCAACTCTGAGACGACTATACGTTATGGCTCGGGGGCCGTGGCCGGAACGCTCTCCGCCGATACAGTGTCAATGGGAGGTTTCACCGTGACCGGGCAAACGTTTTGTACGCTGGATGCTCTCCTGTACTTTCAAATATTGATCTTGTTGCAGTGGCGGTTGATCAGACAACAAGCAGCTTGTTAAGCGGTTCTGTGTCTGGTATCATGGGACTCGCGTTCGTACAGATCGCTTCTACACAGGCAACACCCTTTTGGCAAGCCCTTGTCAATGGAAACCAGTTGACATCTCCGGAAATGAGCTTTTGGCTTGCCCGGCACCGCGGTGAAACAAACGTACAACCAGAAGAATCGGGAGGCGTATTTACACTCGGAGGCACCAACTCCTCCTTATTCACGGGAGATATCGAATTTCTGAACATGCCCGTGTCAACGCCGTCATTTTGGCTTCTAGAGCTCCAAGGCAAGTTCTTATCGTCGTCTACGCGTTCAGGCTCCCCCTGATTCGCGTTTCAGCTCTTACCGTCCAAGGGAAAAGCGTCGCTTTAACCACGAGCGGAACCACGGCATTGTCTGCTATTGACACTGGAACAACTCTGATTGGTGGCCCTTCCGACGACGTCGCTGCCATATGGGCTCAGGTTAGCGGTGCACAACAGGCCCGCGGTCAGCAAGGGTTGTACACGTTTCGTGAGTGGCGCGCTTTCCCTTACATATTTCGGCCGCTGGAATAATCGTTTTTCTCAGCGTGCAGCACTAATGTCGCAGTGACAATGTCGTTTGGTGGCAAGTCGTGGCCGATCAATAGCACGGACATGAATCTGGGCCCCGTGACCGCTGGCAGCAACATGTGTCTTGGAGGAATCTTTGACCTTACTGCCGGAAGTAACATCCCGGAAGGAACTGGGAATCCGGGATGGGTCGTCGGGGCGACGTTTTTGGTCCGTGTCCGCGTTTGTCGATGTCGTAGTAGAGACTGACGTCTTTAGTGTAGAAAAACGTGTATTCGGTTTTCAGAGACTCGAATCCCCCAGCAATTGGATTTGCCCAGTTATCGAGTGCAGCAGGGGGATCAGGTGCGGGCCCCTCCTCCAACTCTTCTGAGCCATCCCTCACCTCGTCGGTTCGGACTACCACAGGCACACCAGGACCGACTCCAAGTGGATCGACAACAAGTAGCACTAATGCGGCAGCAAAGGCCAATATACCCTGGAGAGTAGACCTATCAATTCTAGGACTGGCTGTCCTATCGTGGCTTTGGTTTTTATAATTAAAGGACTAACTATTCCTATCGGATATTAAACGCGTACCAGTAATAATAGCGATGTTTTACTTACACTGCTTGGTATGTTCTGAGAAATGGATGCTGGGTAGCCCTGAATGAGTCAAGATTGCAAAGCAATCTGTATGGGATTTTGGCAGTCGTCGAGAATGGTACAAGGCAATGAAAAGATTGGCGCTGGTAAATACGGTGATTGCCACATAACAAATGCATCTGCTTCCGGCGGCCATCTCCTGAACGCATTCACGATACCTATATCACTTTCTTCACTGGCATCAACGACCATAGGACTCGCATAATTAGAGGTAAATACATCGCAGCACCACCGGCGCTCTCTGGTGGCCACCAACAGCTTGCATGAGCCACGATGAGCAGCCAAGGAAACCACTGCTCCTTCGTCCTCCTGGCTGAATTTCACATCCTCGAAGGCGCGCAGCTCAAGTACCAG